CCCCAGCTGCCACCAGACATTTCCCTGGTCCCCAGAGGAGGCTCACGGGCCAGCACTGGAAGCACGCAGAGACGGGTGGCCGCCCACAGACGCAGAGCAGGCCCTGTGCGCGGCCTCTTCTGTGAGCTCTCTGACGACACTGGGGTGGCTTCTTTTAACAAAGCCAGGCAACCAGCCCGGGTCCCAGGAAGGCACTGAAGAGAGATGCTGAGCTGACTCCTCGGATCGAACACTTCCTGGAATTAATGGGCACTAAGAGGACCCTGAGTGGCTCAGAGAACTGACGTGACCCAGGGGAAGACACGGTCGCAGAGCCCCTTCCGCACACACAGGTAGGCAGCCCCAAGCCGGCCACAGGCTGGAGAAAGAATTCTTCCGGGCCTTTCTTTCCTAATTGCACTTCCCACCAGCTACTCACCCAAATCCGCGCCACCCCCCCCTTCCAGTAGCTGCAAGGTAAACGGATGTAAATGAAGGGATTCCAGAAAAGATTAACAGAGCCAGTGACTAAGGGTCAAATCCAAAGGGTCAAATCCAAATCTCCGTGACACCAGGGCACAATCACGCCGGTCCCAGCAGGCGGCTGGCCTATAGGCAGGGCTCAGTCCCAAGACCTGCACCCAGGCCAGGCACACCAGGCCCACGCTCTCCTGAAACAGTCCCGAACCAGCGGCCCGTCAGAGCCCCGGGCAGCACCGGGCAGCACCCTCCGTCTGTTCGTCTGTTCGAAGGGCCCGCTCACCAGTGTCGCTCAGGGGATGCCTACGAGCGCTTCCCTTTCACAAGGCCACTGACGCAGAGGCCCAGGCCACGGGGCCTCTCTACTCCAGAGTCCTCCAGTCTGACGGTCAACAGCACATACTCTCCCACGCTCTGTTGAAACCTGTCAAAGACCACGGAGTTTTACGTGACTGAAACAGAGCCAAAAGCACTCTCAGACGCTCCCGTAACTCACGTGAGGACGTTCACGGCCAGCACACGCCGCGGACAGGCATCTGAGACGCACACGCACGATCGCGCTGCCGGGAGTCCTGCACGGGCATGCGCGGCTCGCAGGAGCTGGGGGTCGAGTCGGGCGCCCTGGGAAGTCCCGACAGCGCTGGAGAAAGGGACGACACGATCAGACTTGCACGCAGGACGGGCTGCTTTGGCGCTGTGGGGAGAAGAGACAGAGGCCCAGACGGAAGGTTCTGCGGTGGCCCGGGAAGAGGTGGTGGGAGCCAGCACGCAGACAGCAGGAAGCAGCGGGAGTCAACGCACATTTGGTGGGGAACCCGGACGTGCTGCTGTGCTAGGTGTGGAGGTGAAAAGAGCAGGGAATCAGGCTTCGCTTGACCGGGTGGATGCTGGTGCCACTTCTGGAGGTTGGAATGATTACAAGAGGGGCAGGTTTGGGGTGGGGAATCAATATGCCTCCCCCGAAGGAAATACAGTAGTAAAACCTGGACACGGCATTCGTATCCTTGAAACCGTCTGTAATCCAGATATGAATTCCACCAACATCTAGCAGTGTTGGTGAAAATCAGACGACGAAGGGGGTGGGGGAGTAGGCACAGGCTGCACCCCAGGTGTGATCGCATGGGAGCCCGTGACAACCTCACTGGGCAGGCAGCGCCTCATCCTCCCCATCTCACACACGAGCACAGACAGTTATGAGGCGCAGCCACTTTGCCTCTGTCACAAACCAGGAGACTGACGTCCCAAGACACCACCCAGTGCACAGGTCATCAGGGCTCGTTAAGCTAAGCCGCCAAGCTCAGCTCTCCCTGTCCGGCTGGCAAGGTGAGGAAGAAGCTGTGGAAACTCCTGACCCCAGAACCACAGCCACACACCAAGGAAACATCTCCAGTCACCTACGCAGGGATCACCTGTTCAGTCAGAAGTCGTCACACATCTGGAAGATGACAAGGGAACGTCAAGGGGCCCCACTCTCTCCCTAACCTTCATGCTCCCTATTGAGAGGAACCACCACCCCACGGTCGAGTCAGCAGGGCAGGGCTTGCGGGAGAGCCAGACGCTAAAAATGAACGATGCTCCATCTCAAACGATCTAAACACTCAACGGCGAAGAGAATTTGCTGGCAGTCAGACCTAACAGGCTCACTATTAACAAGACAAATATACACAGTGTACCCTCCGCAGCCAGGCCACTGTCCCCAGAGCCACAGCCTGAACCCCATCCGCTCCCCTTGAAGTCCAATCAGAAACCCAAAATCAATCCTGCTTTTTCTGCATTCCATGGAAATTGTATAGATTTGGGGCATTTCCTCTTTTTACATTTCTTCTCCAGAGCTTTTAAGCCAGCCCCAAAAATACGGTCAATAAGCCAACCAACAGGACAGACACTTCCTTAGCCAAAATATGAAGGGGCCTGGGAAGGGCCAGCTGTCTGCCCTTCACGTGCGGTGTCGCTCCTGCTGTGAACGCCGTCTGTGGTCCACTCTATGGCCACAACCATGACGACCAGCCACGACCAGAAGCACCTCACTGGGCTGGCTCATCAGGAAGACACAGGAAAATATCTGGGACCCTGTCCTTGGGGAACTTCCCACCCACTGAGGAAGGTAAGGGTAGCAAACAGAAACAGAAAGCGCCTGCTGATGTCAGGCACAAAAACCAGCAGTGATTGTGAAGTGTGGGCGGTTGAAGGGCTGAGGCAGGTGACCGCCCAGGCCCTCCCACACAGCCGCTGGGGGGCAGCCCACACTTGTCATGGGGCAGTAAAACCTGAGCCTGCCAGCTAGTGTCCCACAGCCCCTGGGCCTTAACGCCGAATCATTCACACACCTTCTGCCAATTCCCACCAGTGAAAATGATGGGTGTGAACCAACCAAAGTGCTAGTCAAAGTTCCACCAACTGCGGGCAATAAAGACTAGCAAAGTCTGCACAGAGACCCAGAGAGCAGCAAGGCATTCTGGGATCCCATGGCCCAGGGGCTCAAAATGGCGCCAGGCGAGCAGGAAAAAAGCGGAAGGCCAGGGGCACCCCTGCTTTCCCAGGTTTGACAGAGACCTAGGTAAAACACTCGTCTAGTTTTCCTCAAGCTGCTACACGGCAAACAGCCACGTGCACACACTCAAGGCCAAGTGAGGACAGACACTCGGGTCTCTATCGGGAAACAGGGGCATCCACACCTGCTCAGGGAGACGGGAGACCGGACACCACCAGACAGCATGCCTGCAGCAGCCCCAGCATGGAGGAACCGTGAACTGGGTTCAGGAGACCCCCGCCCCGGGGGGTCCTACATAATGGCCCTCCTGACACACGTGTCCATGCACAACCAACGCTTAAGAGAGCCACCCGCAGGGCACCTGGGTGGCTCGGTCGGTTGGGCACCCCACTCTGGATTTAAGCTCAAGGCATGACCTCACGGTTCATGAGATCAAGCCCCATGTCCGTCTCCACACTGCCAGCGCAGCGCCTGCTTGGCATGGCGTTCACCCAGAGGAAGTGAAGACTCCCGTCCCCAAGAACCTGCACACGGAAGTGTACTGCAGCTTTATTCCTAACTGCCCAAACCTGGGAGCAGCCAAGATGGCCTCCAGCAGCTGATGGATACATTAATTGTGGTCCATCCAAACAATGAAGTGATGTTCAGTACTGGGGCACTGGGGTGGCCCAGTCAGTAAAGTGTCTGACTTGGGCTCAGGTCATGGTCTCACGGTACGTGGGTCCGAGCCCCGCGTCGGCTCTGTGCTGATGGCTCAGAGCCTGAAGCCTGCTTCAGATTCTGTGTCTCCCTCTCTCTCTGCCCGTTCCCCTACTCACACTCTCTGTCCTCTCCCACTCTCTCTCTCCGAAAGAAATAAACATCTTTTAAAAACTTAAAAAAATATTTAGAAAAAACAACTGTGTCAGTTGCTAGCCTTACTTAGAAAATTTTTATGGTTAAGTTCTGTCCTAAAAATCTTGCTGTATCAACAGCATTTAGCTAAAGACTGAGCAAAAAGCACACAAAAATTAGTTCAAATGGTGTTATCTTGAATCACATCACTTAAACGATGTCTAAAACTTAGAAGTGTTTCATCCTGTGTTATTAGCAAGTAGCCAGCGTCTCTGCCACAGCAAGCCTGGAGTGACGATCCAGGCCTGACTCCAAGGGACGGCCACCGCATGAGGCCCCTGACTCGCGGGCAAGTCAGTGTGGTCGCGGGGGCCACAGACTCCGGGCTTTGAAGGTTTCACGGGCAGGTGTCCCCAGGCCCAGCTACAGGGAAATGGAGGGACGCGGCGCGCCCTGCCCACACCTGCTAACATCGGCCGGGGCTCCAACCCACGGCCGAGTAACCCTCCGGTAACCACAGGAGGAGCCACCAAGGAAAGAGGTCGAAGACGCAGGTCCCCCAGGCTGTAACGGCTTCTCCACAGCACTGCTGGTGCCTCCGAAGCTGCCAAGGAGCCCGCAGGCAAATGCCACCCCCATGACCTCACACGACGCCGGGAACGCCGCACGGCCGACTGCCCCTAGAATCACAGGCGGAGGAAGCCCCCCACGCACTGTGACACCCTCCTCAGGGCGGCGTCCCCCCCACCCCTCCCCAAGCTCCAGGAAGAATCTCAAAAAACCCATACAAAATGCAACCACCCAGGATTCTCTAAGGATCGATGCTTTTAGATGTTCACTCCTCTCTCTATTAAGCCAAAAGGATGCAGTCTACCAAGTAAATCCACCTTCTGTGCAGGCGGGTACAGATTCTACCGCTAAGGGGCAAGTTTGACTGTCGCAATTCCTACGACTTCCGATGTTCTCGATGACTTACAAAGCCATGTACCTTACACCGGTCTTGACAAAAGTCTCCTCCACTTACAAACGTTAAAAGCACGTAATGACCAACGCGAAGGTGTCAGGGGAAGGACTCCAGCCACACCTCGCCCACAGCGGCAGGAGCACGGCCCGTGGGGGCTGGCAGGCAAGCCCCCTCCTCACCCACACCTCTCCCGTGCCGGGTCTCCGGGCCTCGGACGTGCGCACGGACACGGACGCCTGGTATCCGACTCACCTGAATTCTCTGCCTTCGCTGGACCGTCTACTGGAGGAGGCCCGCGGGGCAGCCGTCTCCAGAAGCAGCTTCTGCGTGAGCCTGCCGGGGGGCGCGGGGTCTCTGCCGCCGTCTTCGTGCGGGTCCTGATCACACTTCCATTCCTCATCTTCGTTCAACGTGGGCAGGTACCCGGGGATGCCCTTCCCCGTCCCCGACCCAGAGCTCTGGTCGCTACAGAGCTTCGGGCTCTCCGAGCCGGTCCGCGTGTATTCCAAATAAATATCAGACTTGAGGAAGGAAGGGTAGGTGTTCTCCTCCATGGTGGACTGGATCTCCGTCTGCGCCTGGTCGAACATGGCGGGATCGATCAGCTGCTTCATGATGCAGTCCTTGATGAAGCTCTTGGTAGCGGGCTTGGTTTGCCTGGAGACGATGCCGTTGTTGTCGAGGATGTACTTGCGGTAAATGGCCTTGGCCAACTTCAGCCTCTTTTCCTCGTTCGAGTCGCAGGGCTCCAGCTTCCTGAAGCCGCTGCAGGCAAACCAGAAGTCCAGCAGGTCAGCACAGTCCTCCTGCTTCAGGAAAGTCCTGAACAGGTTTATGCCATCTTGATCGTCCAGCAACGAGTGCAGCGACTCGGCCCACTTCAAGTACGGCGGGGTGGGGGAGGCGCTGCCCTCGGGCTCGTACCCCAGGTCCAGGTCCGAGCGCCGCGGTGTGGCTGCCGAAGTCTCACCTTTAGCCCCGGCGCCCTTCCCGGAGCAGAAGCTGTGGCTGACGGGCCGGGGGTCTGTGGACACCAGTTCACCCTCCTCACCAGGCACTGGGGGTCGGGGGGCATCTTCGGTGAAACTCGCTCCAAGGTCCAAAGGGAAACCCTGCTCTTGGATACTCATTGTGGGATCCTGCGGCACTGTACACTGAACGCTGCACCCTATAATCAGTACTTACGGCTCCAAAGTGAGTCAATCTGTCCTGTTGAAACCATTAAGAGGACAAGGATTAGGAAAGGTGGGTCCACAGACACACGACCACAGAAGTTTTCTTGAGACAAGACTCGAAACGATGCCCTCCCGCTCGAACTCAGAGCCAGAAATTCAGTTTACGTTTTCAATCGTTGCCACAGGTTTGGGCTATATTAAAACAACTTCTGGAAACTTTCACAGGTACAGGAGTGCCTCCGGATCTAAAAACTGAATGCCCAGCGCAGGGAGAGCACCTCTCCCCTCACGTGTCGTTCTGTGAGAACAGCACGGAGACCGGCAGCCTGGGGACCTCCCGTCTCGGCCACAACCAGCCCCGCTCGGCAGGCTCCGGGGGGACGGGAGGGAAGAAACCTGCTTCCTAACCCTCCTCGCCGTGTAAACTCGGCTGACGGCTGGCCCCACCGGCACCGCGCGGGGCTCTCACCACACTCGGGTACCGGGAGGTAGGCACGTCACACGCCAGAAGTGGGTGTCATGTCTGCTCCCCGCATTCCCTAGGCCACCCCACCGCCTCACGCATCCCGTGCCTCCTGACTCGGGCGAACACACAGGCGTTCCCTTAACTCCCAACACGCAACTACGAACAGTGATGGGGGGGTCGGTCACCTTCAGCGCCTTCGCCCGAGTGATCCAAGGACACCCCCTGCCCCCCACGTAGCGGCCTTCTCATGTCACCAGTGTGGACAATCCTTAGAACGCTTCCACCAGAAAGCTGCACTTGACCTTGCTTCTAAGGAAAGCGTCCTTCTGAGAGCAAGTGGCAATTTAGTGCTCTGAAGAAAAGAGAAGGTATAGGAAAAGAAATGAAATCCAAACACAGTTACACCTTTTAGCTAAGGAAGCACACAGCTCACCTGATTTAACCCCGTGAGCGCAAAACCAAACCACCCCCTCCCGGAGGTCGGGGAACTACAGGCCTGCCCTAGGAGTGAAGGGGGGCTCTCCCGTGGCCTTCGTCCTCCCCGCCGCACCTACAGGAGCCCACGGGGCCCACGAGCCGAACTACACCTCCCAACCCGGCCAAACAGGTGACTGCAACTCGGCACACCACGGCCCAAGCGGTCTGGCTGGAAGCGGGCGGGGGGAAGCACGTCAGGTCCAGACGCTGAGGGCACCGAGCAAGCCAGCGGGAGAAAAACTAACCCCTAAAACCTAGTCCCAACAAAAAGGGTGGCTCTCCCTGGCCTCCACGCCACCCTCTGGGCCAGGGCCTCCGGGGGCCCCTCCTCCACACCTGCCGGCAGCTGCGGGCGGCTAGGAGGCAGAAGCACCCAGAGACAGAGGATGGGTCACAATAACGTGCCCGAGATGACATTTCTGCAGCTAACGACTTTTTATAAAAACTACTGGGGACGCTGTACTCTCAGCAGGAACAGCCTGCTTCTTAAGGTCAAGGCCTGTGGGCTGTGGCACCCTGCTGTCACTGACCACTTCAGCTGCAAAGTCGCTTTTTCTGAGCCCCCTCAGCATGAACGAGCACCTGCAGCGTGGCAGCCCCGCCCCAGCTCAGGGCTACCTAATGTCCTCTTGTCTGAGATGCCTTCTCGCGAAGGAGGGCCCACGCCTGGCCCTGAGCCTCACCCTGAGAGAGGCTCTTTAGTTCACCAGGCTTGACAAAGATCCGAGTCCCTGTGTTCCAATGGGAGGTTAATTACACGTTGCCGTCGTCTGCTCTGAAGACGCGATGCCTCCTGTGTACATTATTAGGAGCAACCTGAGTAACCGTTTCCCACAGGACCCACAGCACCTAACACAAGGTCTTGCAACTAACAGGCACCGATGAATATCTGATTCATGGACACGAAGGCAAACAGCAATCGTCCGAAAAGCCAACTGTCAGCCCTTCACAGATGCTGAAATATTGCACTATAAAAACAGCAAGACACTCAAGATTCTAGCCCTTTATTACAAAACCGTGGTTGTCTTTAAAAGCTAACATTTAAATCCATGTGTGAACAAGTCCCCCTAATCATTTTAAACTGTTTTTCACTGCCCTGAAGATACAGTTCTTGTAACTCACGTCTATTTTTGGCTGTCGACTGACAGAAGACCTTTGGTGTCCCTGGCAGGACGGGAACACCTCTCCGAATTGCTGCCGTTACCGGAACGCACTCTAATTCCTGCAGTCTCGGGGTGCCCACACAGAAGCACACCGGGCGCTCAGTGTCTACACATGGGCATATCACACATAAAGCAGCTCTATTAATTCACATGGAGTCAGATGCCCACAAGCACTGAATGTGGCCAACAGCCTATAACCACCATCAATAAAAGGATTCCATAAAAGTAATGTGCAGCTGTGATACCGAATGCAAAGTCTCCTGTAGTCACCGCAAGGCCTCCCCTGGGTACCAGGGCAGCCAGCTCAACACTACGGAGCTGAGTATGTTTACGTCACTCAAATGTAACTTAATTCTGAATTTATGTGGGTGTGGAAATAACAGAGCATGACTCTGGCATTCTCCTAATTGTCCACTGATTAAACTCGGAAAGGGTCAGGGCCACTGTTTTTACAGTGTAATCCATTCCTCCGCCACCTACATTCCCAATGACCGATGTAGCCCAAAAAAGTCCACTTGGCTTTTTTGAGGCTAGAAACCCAAGAAACACCCACACCTGCTAAAAATCCAACAGAAATATTGTATTTTGTATGCCTGTCCATCCTTGTCCCTGAAGAGAAGTTCTTAAAACTGAAATCCAAATACCGCTATCCTGGGAGGTCGGGTTTGGACCACGTGTGTTCCTCCAAACAGGGCCTGAGACGCTTCCTGAAGAGGCAGAGTGAGCGTGCAACCAAACAGGAGGGGCTGAGATGCACAGTAAGAACTCTTCCTAAATTATCTTAGAGATGAGTGGAGAAAAGTTGTGTGTGAGTGTGTGTGTGTGCGCGCGCGCTTGTGTTTCCTCTAACGTCCTCAGTGCCCAGCTAAAAGTTTCACTGCCTTCCAGGGGTACTGAATTCCAAATGTGGGGTGGAGGGAGAAGCTAAGACCCACACCCAGGAGAGAGTTCTGGGGGACAAGGCATCAATCTGAAAGAGTCCAGCCACTCAGACAAGCCACACCACAGCCTGGAACCAGCCTCAGGCACCCCTGCTCTGAGGGAGTGCCCTCCTTGAGTTTCAGACTCACTCATCCCTACTTTCTGTCGCGGGGGAGAGGGAAGGGCCGTGCTACCGTCCAGCCTCCCTCTGGGATCCCTGCACACGGCGGCTACTCTGCACCCCACCCACACCCGAAACAGGCCCCAGGCGCACGACTGACACCAACCGAACGCATCAGCTGCGCGCCCTGGCCTCCTCCAGAAACCCGCCCCCCACCCCCTCTCAGAACCCCGGTTCTTCCTTCCACTCTTCCACTCTCCTAGAGCAAGGGGCTGCCCTTTCGGAACCGAACCTCGCACTTTTCCAGGTTCACACAGCCCAATATCAGCGGCCCTTGCTAGCATCCCCTCTGACACACCTGCCCTCATAGCCTTGAATCCCACACACCTTCCTCGCACACCACACGGTCTGCACACTCGGCCCGAACAACCTGCTCGGTGCTGCAAGCCTCCCCGCACGCGCCCCCAGCCCGCACCCTTCGAGCCCGTCTTCCGGGTCCCGCGCCCGGCCCGCCCGGCCCGGCCTACGCGGCCTACAATGAACGGCCGCACGGGCCCGCGCCCCGCAGTACCGCGCGCCCGGCCCGCACTACTCACCCGCGCTCGGCGGCGGCGGCGGCGGGGCCCCGGCCCGGCTCCCGGAGCGGCGCGGCGAGGCCCATGCGCTCAGCGGCGGCGCGGCGGGCGGGACGGGGCGGGGGCGCGGCCCCGGGCGGCCCCCATCGCAGCGGCGGCGCGGCGGCCCGGAGGCGGGCGCGGGGCAGGCCGCGGGGGCGCCGCCGAGGCCGGCCGCCCGCTCTCACCCGCCTGCACCGGGGAACGCGACTCCGGCCCGACTCTGGCCGGCCCTGCGCGCGGCTACAGCGGCCGCGATCGCTTCCCCGAGCGGGGAGCCCGAGGCCAGAGCGCCGAAGCCCAGGCCGGAGCGCCCCCGCCGGCGCCGCCCGGAAGTGCGGGGGCGGGGCCGGAGCGCGGGGCGGGGCCGGGAGCGTGGGGGCGAGGCCGACAACGTGGGGCGGGGCCCAGCGCATGAGGCGGTCCGAGAGCGCGGGGCGGGGCCGGGCGCGCGGCGCGACAGGAACGTGGGGCGGGGCCAAGGCTCGAGGCGGGGCCAGGAGATAGGCGGTCCCTAGACCGTGGGGCGTGGCTGGAACGTGAAGCGCCGCCCAGAGCCTGCGGCGGCCCGAGAGGGGCGGGCCAGGCACCTGGGGCGGGGCCGTGAGCAAGCGGCTGGGCCGAAGCACGAGGCGGGGCTGTACTGTGGGGCGGGGCTTGAGGAGGCGCGTAGAGCGTGGGGGTGTGACAAGAACAAAGGGGGGGCAGGAGTGGGAACGTGGGGCGATGCCGAGAGCGTGGGGTGGGGCCGAAACGTGGGGGCGGGAGAGGGACGAAGGACACCGCCCGGAGCGTGGGGCGGGGCTTGGAGCTTGGGAGCGGAACGGGGAACGTAGGACGAGCTGAGAGGGAGAGGCGGGGCCAAGACGTGGGGTGGGGCCAGTAGCAGGGGGCGGGGCGGGGCCGGATTGGCGAGGACCGCAACGCGGGGCGGGGCCGCCGCGCCGTGGGCGGGGCGGGAGGGCGGGGCGGAGCCGGCGTCGGGAGCTAGGCGGGTAGCGAGACCTGGAACCTGGGTGCTGGGAAGGGCGAACAGCGTGGAGGCGGTGCCTGGGCGGAGGGGTGGGCCCTGAGCTCGGAGGCGGAGCCAAAGGAGTGGGTGTGGCCAAGTTTCAGGGGCGCGGCCAGTGCCGCGGGCACCGGGCCGGGCGAGGACCCGGGGGCTGGCTACGGGAGATTTCGCATCTCTCCCAGGCCTTCTGCGTAAGGAGGGTCGTCTGTGGAGACGCCCTGCGTGTGTGGCCACCGGGAAGGCCTGGCCCGGTGCACTAAGCGGACGGGCGGCCCTCTCGGGCACTGAGAGGCGCCCGCCACGTCTCAGCCATTTTCAGCCGCCCACACGGGTGTCCCCCAGCCCGAGGCTCCCGAAGTTGGCACCCACAGGCCAGGCCCGCACCCAACCGGGCTCCCACCCCTGCACAGGGAGCATCTCGTGCATGGGCGGGCAGGGTCCCCAGAGGGACTGGAGACCTTGCTCGGGGACTGCCTGGCCGGCCCTGCACCGGAGGACCCTCGCAGGAAGGCCAACAACTGCCCACGGCATTGAAGGAAGCAGGTGTGCAGGAGTCGGGCGGTTGGAAGGCACAGCCAGGCTGACCTGGAGCTGACCCTCGGTAAGGTCCAGTCCCTCTCTCCCCCTTCTCCATGCTTGTTGCCCCCCCCCCCCCGGGGTGGCCCAGTCCCTGAGAAGGTGGGCCGGGGCTCCACCCTCCCTTAGTCCCCAGTGGGTCTGGACTCGAGGCCAGGGCTGAGTGGCAGTAAATGCTGGTTGTCACTTGGACAGGAGCCCCCACCTGCAAAGAACTGTGGACTGAGGCTCCACCCAGTTGGGCCTGCCTGCTCACTTGCTCCCGGGCACCATCCAGAGTGTGGACAAGGGCCCTCCTTCCTACCACTGCCTTTGGGTCACACTCCCACAGGCAAGCCTGAGAGCAAGGACTTCCTATACCCCCACACCTCTCCCCATCCCCCTGTCCCTGTCACCACAGCAGCTCTTGCCCAACCCGCAAAGCCCAGCTGGCCCCTCCTGAGGGAAGGACGTGAGCACCAGAA